TATACCAAACATTAAATCTTTTACGAAAAAAGAATTAAACAAAATGAACACAAAACGATCAGCTTTAAAAAAGGACTCGTAACTGGAAAAACCAAATGAAAAAAGAATGTTAACAACAAATACTTTTTCACACCCAACCCAGTTCTGCCGAATCAGAATCAACGTTGAGTTTAAGCAAGCGAATGAGTCAATTGGATTAAAGTGTCATGCAGATTTAAATTTTTCCCACTTGTGACGAATGCAGCTATCGATTTTTTTTGCATGCTAGCATGCTAGTTAACATTCGTGTCAGTCAGCTGTTGGCTCTCACGCTGGCCAGTAGAATCTTCCTGCCTATTCGTGGCAGCCATCTATAGGCTCTCACTCTGGCCAGTAGAAAATGGCCGCCAACTACATGAAAACTGCCGTAGAAGCATGAAAAAATCGATTATTTCCATTATCGATGGGAGTTGGGAAATGCAAAGTCGGTTTTGGCCTTCCCGCTAACTTGGAGCATGTGCATGTAAATTTTGGTGCAAATCCGTCGAAAATTGCGTGCCGTTGCATTCACACACACACACACACACACACACACACACACACACACACACACACACACATCCTGCCTTTTATAGATAGAGATTAGAGTAATAATATTAAAGTGAAACCAAAATTTTGGAAGAATTTTATCATGAAAAAGAACTTTTTCTAACACCAAAATTTTTGATCATTCCAATTTTTGTGTAACATCTCACTGAGAAATAAAAGAAAAACCATGGGGTCCTCAGATGACCCTAGCTTGGTAAACATTGTTGACGACCAAAGGTTAAATGTCCATAATTGCGGGACGAAAATATGACACATTAAAGAGATACAATGTTATACAATGGTTCTGGTGAGATTAGTAGTTCTTATACAAGAAACATTCAGCATTCATTGATAAAACATCTTTAGTTTTGGTTGTCTTTCTTGTAAAAACGGTTTTCAGGAATACAGACTTCTCAAATCCGGTAACTTTTACTACTCTTCCCATTAGTGATGGGGGTTTCTTTCCTAAGCATTCCTTTAATGTCAAGAGAAAATACAACATCTTGATTTTATTATTATCTTCTCTTCTCTTTACATGTGCTATCCATTTTAGGTGTTGCTGCGTTTGAAAGTCTTCAAATGATGTGGTTTTGTCATTTGGCAAAATTTTTTGGGATCCTGTATCTTCCGTTTTTAGGATCTGCTGAAGAATTGTGTTCATTAAGACGTAGTCTCAAGATTTTTTTTAAATTCAGAATAACTAAAACTCTAGAGCGCACTTTACATTTTAATAAGGTGAAATTAGTCATGAAATTTAAAAAATAAGAAATTTTGGTTTAGCTTTCCCAAAGAAGATTCACAGTACAAATTTCAATTAAAGGGATTTATGAAGAATTTATTTTTTAGAGAGGCCGATAATGACTGATTTAAATCCCTTGATGGAGGCAAAATGAAAAAGGATTAACCGCTCCTTAAAGATTAAGGAATTTAGCATCGAGTTTAAAATATATGACTTAACTTAGACTTGCTAGCCATGTACTTGGTGTCTATAGCTATTTTTTGAATTTTTTTAAAAGTATTACACCCCAAGAAAGAGGAAGGATGCCACAAGCACGAATTGATTACAGAGAGTGGGAGCGAGAGTAAAGAGGCGTGACAGAGGAAAGGATGAAGAGAAAGACAGGGAATAGATCAAGGCATCTGGAGATGTCGACTGACATTATATTTGAATAGTTGGGGATTATAGCTGTCAGGGAAACAAGTAATAGGAAGAGAATTACACAGACAAGAGGTGCGAGACATGAAGCTATTGGAGTAGAAGAGGGGACTGCATTTAACTGTTTCGACAGTGAAAGGGTGGGACCGAAATGCCAACCTAGTAGCACGTTTAAATTCATGCAGTCTGGAAACTCGTCGAAGCAGTTACCGTGAAAATATATGTAGAAAAGACAGAGGAGGGGGCGATGGCGCGTCTGTGAGAGAGCGACTGTAGACGAGATGCCAGATCAGATTCAGTCATATTGCATATCCATCTCTGGGTTTAACATTTAAAAATAAAATATAAAAATAATTAATAAATTACTCTTCTGTTAACCTGGCAACCTTTCAGGGTTCAATAGTTCGTTTGGGCAACCTAAAAGATTCTTCTAATTAAAGCCATTTTTAATCTTTGATATGAGAAAACGGTTGTAATTAACTGATAGTTTAGACATGTCTGAAAATGTTTAACGTCAGGCATGACATCAATATGTGTAAAGATTTGACTGGGAATTCAAGAACGCGTCTCGTGTTCTCAGCTTAATATTTGTATTTTCTATTATATCGACGATGTTGGGCAAAAATACACGTATCCCCATCCAACTTATGTTAAATTCTCTTATCCGCTACTAAATTTGTTATGACTGATCTGTGCAGCGAGGTATTTGAAGTGGTTTGATTTTATCAATTTCACATACTGAATTCTTATGAAGAATCCCGTGTATGTGCCATCAGTACTTTCATTCCAATTCCAGGTCATATTTATTCCTGGGTATGACGATAAAATAAATCCAGCAGCTTCTGATCGGGAAGTTGGAGATTTTAAGGAGCGTAGACTCACCTCTTAATTGCTGTTGTTCCCAGGTTCACTCTGACCCTGGGTGGTAACAGCTGTTAGGGTCCCAGCTATGGGCGAATACTGAACCCCCAAAACAGAAACAAAATACTATGAAATTATTAAAAAATACATAAAATCTTGTGAATTCGACCGCAGTTAAGGGAGCAGAAATAGTTGACAATCGCAGCATGGGGACATATCCCCTGAGTAATTTATGACTTTCATGCAACTATTTTTACTTGGCTCAGATATTGGCTGGGAAGTAACTACAATCAGGAAGACACATTAGTAGATTAATGTTTGAAGACAATAAAATTACTCGCAATAGCCTGCGAGTCTAGGCCACTAACTTTTCAACTTTTTCAACCTTTTTATCTCATGACACACTTGAATCTATAGTTAAATATCTGTGACGCGCTTGGATTATGATGATAAAAAAAGAGTATGCTTTTTATGATTTATTTATTAGCACAAAGAATATAATTTGCAATAAAAAAATAATAATTGAATTTCTTAAGAAAAGTTATATTTATTGCTAATTTTGTTTCTTAATTTAAAACTTATCCATTTTAATTGAACACTTTGCAATAAATATCTATACTCAGTAATAACTACATGTCCACACTACTTCGGACACAATTGAATCCGTGCACAATGAGGGATTGCGGAGTCATTCTCGAAATCAACTTTGGATGAATTCGACATATATCAGAGTTCATCGGAAAGTCCTTGCCAAATCGTGCCATCCATTCTACAGAATAAAAGAAAAGAAAGAAGTCAATCTGCAAGTCTGGTGCCTTTTTTTACTGCTAAAATTCTCTGCTGAAGTCTTTGTAGCATTCCATGTTTTCGCTTGTGGCCACCACAAATAAAACCCGATTGACTGAAACAGATGTGAAAAAAAACATAGCAAATGTTCGTTTACTAAAACCGAGAAATGACTTTTATTGGTAGATTTTCAAGTGATTTCAAACATACTTTTCAATTATTAACATTTTACCCTGTGCAATCTCAGAGTCGTTCATTTACGATCCACTTCCTGAACATTATCGAGCAGTTCGTCATCGGCATAACATATGTGCTACCTGTTTTCACCTGTCCAATGGAAACAACAAAAATTAGTAATATTTTTCGAGCAATCCCCATTTAAGGAAATATACTAACAACATTCAAATACACCTTATTATGATAATTAAATGAAGGTGCTTTCCGAAAGATATAAAAAGATTAAAAGAATAAAATACCGATTTGACCATATTTTAAACAACATATAACATGGATGGGACATTCAGAGAGATTATATATAAGGGTGTTTCATTAAGACGGATCAAAGTCAGCAGTAAATAAATCAGTGTTATTGGTCAAAATTTATTTATTTCTCTATTGGATCATGTTATTTAAGTCATGATAATTATCTAGGAAAAATAATATCGCCCAAATGTCCACCAAATCTGAAAGAAAAAGGAAAAAAAATCATTAGACGCTTAAGCTTAATTCACATTTAAAATCGGTCCAAGTTATTGGAACACCCTTTATTACTCACAAAGTGCAGTAGCAAAAGTAATCACCGCATTCAGTTGATTGAAAGATGGAAAGAAAAATTGTCTAGCAGGATGCAGTAAAGAAACTTACTTAGCCACAAACGTAGCAGTTGATTCAATAAAATCATTATTAATATCAATTTTATGACTATTTTACTTGAATATTAATTTATGCGTACTTTAAGATACTGTCTTCTGTTGGGAAAGATTTTCTTTCATGGGGTTTTTCTTTTATGAAAATGTTAGTCCTGTCGTTCTCTTTTGCCTTCTCCATTGTTTTCAATTCTTCTGATTAACCGGTTCCCGACCAAGGCTAGAGTGACTTATATGTTAGATAGATTCCAGCGAGAAAATTTGTCTAACACGACACAGTGAACTCACTTCTTTAGCAACATATGTAGCAGTTTTTTCAATACTATCTTTCCACTTCATGTTAGCAGAAAACCTTCGCTCGTGAAGTCTCAATGAGTTACTCTCCTGGTGGTTAGCATCAGGAGAAATCTTTTCAGACGATTAATAGAGAGATGTTTTGTTTTGAAACGTTAAAATTAACAAACCATTCCATGCCCTAGTTAACCATACAATGGAGGTCTTTTTTGTAGATCAGCTGCCAATTTGAGCTTATCGAACCAATCAGTCTTACTTGGACAACCAATAATATGGAGAGTTAACTTTGAGAGCGCTTCTAATATTTCGATAATGTTGCTCTTGAGTTTTGCATCAACCTAATATTGCCAAGAACTTATTACTTTTAAAACTGAATTCCTTTGCTTTTACCATTCCTTTAGGCTGTTTATTTTTTGAATTGTGCATAAAGATATTTCCCCCAGAAATAGCTGGTTATAATTCAGCTGTAGGCTTTTTACAAGAGTTTTTTTTTTCCTTTTCATTCGTTCATCCCTTTTTTCTCTCTTTCTTTTTCTTATTCTTTAATTCTTTCTTCAATATTCCTTTTTTTACCTTATTTTATTAGTCCATTTTTTCTTTCTCTTATTTATTTCCTTGTTTCTTTCATTTATTCCTGAAGTCTATTACTTTCTTTTTAAATCTCTTTCTTTCTTTCACTTAAAAAAAATAATTTCTGCATTATTTTTTCGTTGTTCTTTTCTTTCTTTGTTTTATTTGTTCAAACATTTTCTTTCTTCATTACATTCTTTTTCTTCGTTTTATTTACATTATTTATCGAATCTTTCTTTCTTTTTTTCGTTGTTTGTTTGTTTCTTTCTTTCTTTTATTCCTTAAATCTATTACTTTCTTTCCCATCCTTTTATTTCTTTCTCTCAGCGTTTTTCTTTGTTCTTTCTTTGTTTTGTTTGTTCAATCTTTCTTTCGTTTCGTTTCTTTCTTTCTTTCTTGCTTTCGTTTCTTTCTTTTCTTTCTTTCTTTCCCTCTTTCTTTCCTTTCTTTCTTTTCTTTCATTCTTTCTTTCGTTTCTTTTCTTTCTTTCATTCTTTCTTTCCTTTCTTTCTTTTCTTTCTGTCTTTCTTTTCTTTCTGTCTTTCGTTTCTTTCGTTTCTTTCTTTCTTTCTTTCGTTTCTTTCTTTCTTTCTTTCGTTTCTTTCTTTTCTTTTTTCCTTTCTTTCTTTCTTTCGTTTCTTTCGTTTCTTTCTTTCTGCTTGTCAATATCTTTCATCACTTTTTTCTTCACTCATTTATTTCTTTTCTTTTTATATTTCTTTTATTCGTCCGACATTTTTCCCCTCTTTTTTCTTTCTTTAATCTAAATTAACTATAACTTCTGAGGCTAGAGTTTCAAATATAGTATACAAATAAAAATAAATGTTTTTATTTCTGGATAAATACATTATTTTACAGTGTGCACGTATATTATGAAAGTGCGCCTTATATACACAAAGTCGATATCTAAATCAATTTGACCTCCTGCATATAATTTACCACTGAGCTCTCCAATTCGTATCACATCATATTCTTCAACAAGTTTTTTTTTTCCCTTCATTTCTTCCTTCCTTGGCCTCAGTTTTACATCTCTTTTCTAATTTTACTTTCCTTTTATTTTCAAAATTTTCAAATCCACGCATGCGCCATTGGTAAGCGTACCTCCAAGATGTAGATCGTTTTGAAATCTGCCTAAAGAGGTTTTGATTGGTTAATTGACCGTTTATAAAATCGCTTAATTCAATTAAGGTTTGCCGTCTTGAGGAGAGCCTATATCGTTGAGGGCTCCTCCCCGATCTCTTCCCTCTACATTGTCGATGTACTGACGACCCGGGTGTAATCAAGAGCCTAACAATTTATCATGTTTGTATTATCCTTGGCAAAGATAGGGGAGTTTTACTCATTGCCCCCTTTCTGTTCGAGAAAAAAACCACACACTCAGTCATAACTAGATGCCACGTCATTCTTTCTTCCTTTCTTTATTTTCTCGTCTTAGTTATCTTCTTTAGTTTTTTCTTTCCTTATTTATTTTAAAAGCCTTCTCTCTTACATGTCTTCTTTCTTTTCTTTCTTTATTCAAAGTGTTTTTTCTTTTTATATTTTTTCATTTTCCTTCTTTCTTTCTTTTTTATATTCTTCTCATTTTGTTTTTGCTTTCTTTCTATATTTTTTCTTTCTTTCTATATTTTTCTCATTTTCCTTCTTTCTTTCTTTCTTTTTATATTCTTCTCATTTTCCTTCTTTATTTCTTTTTATATTTTTCTCATTTTGCTTCCTTCCATCTTTCTTTTTATATTCTTCTCATTTTGTTTTCTTTCTTTCTTTCTTTCTTTCTTCCAAAAGAAAAGTAGGTTGCGTTTCTTTCTTTTTTCATCTTTCTAGCTTTCATTGTTACTTTCTTTTTTCTTCATTTTGATAAACTTTTCTTTTTTTCTTTCTCTTTCTTCTTTTTTTTCCCTTTCGTTTTCATTCTTATTTATTTTTTTATTAATTTTTACCTTTTCTCTTTCTTTATTTTGTTTTGCTTTCCTTTTTTCTTTGTTACTTTATCCCTTTTTCTTTTTAATATTCTTTTTTTTTTTCATTTTTTCTTTCTTTTTGCTTTCGTTTCTTTTTCTCCATTTCCATTCATTCTTTGGTACTTTTTAACTTTATCTCTTTCTTCTTTATAATACATTTTTTTTTATTTTTTACTTTCTTCTTTCCTTTTTTTTTCTTTTCTTTCTTTTACTTTCTTTCTTATTCTCTTTCTCTTTCCCTTGCTTTTCTTCGTTGTTAGATTTTCAGTTCTATTCTTTTTATTTTCTTTTATTTTCATATTTCTTCTTTTTTTTTCTGTTTCCTATTTTTTATCCCTTCCAATTTACTTTCTTTTCTTTACTGTTTCTCTCTTTTTTTCTTTTTAACGCTCTTTTCTTTCTTTCTTTCTTTCTTTCTTATATTTTGCTGATCCTCTCTGATTTTACCCTCCTCTTTTCGTTAACTCTTCCTGTTTTCCTATTTTCTCCAAAATTTTACTTTATTGTCTTTAATGCTTATATTCTTCTTTTTCCCCTCCTACATTTCCATCTCTATCACTATGTTGACGTTTCTGTGAATGTCTACATGCGCGTGTGCTTGTATGTTCAAAGAACACGGCTAAACGGAAAGCCCAAAACACTCATTTTGTTTTCTATAGTAAAACCAAAAACACTTTAATTAACAAAATAAGCTTTCCGAGACTGACCACAAAGAACGGCCATTCAAAGCTATCAGAGGCCACCCAAAGCATTTTATTTATTATTTCCAGCTAAATTCTAAAAAAAAAATTTTTTATAAATTTGGACTGAGATTTTGAGTTTAATAGGAAGCATAAAAGTGTTTTTGTCCTTACAAATTTTAGTGGGAATAAGAACAGATTAGACCTTCATGATCTCTGGAGGTTATTTGAGATGAAATTTGTCACCTTCAGGATTTATATGGAATTAAACAATTAGGCTCTAGGATGTAAATTTGCACACGTTGATAAAAAAAATTAAAATATGAAAGCTGATTGTGATATTTAAGTCCAGTAGTAGTCCCAGTTTATGTTTTAAGTTTAAATGAGCATTTCTTTCAGTCAAATAAAAGACCTTAATGTGGCAAAAGATAAATTAAGTCCAAATTCTAGTATTTTCTTGATCAAACTTGATCTTTCCAGTTGTTTTAAATGTAAAAAAAACAACAAAAAAAAAAAACAGAAAAATTTACAGAGATTGTTATGCCTGAAGTCCTTAAAATATCCAGAGACTTTTATATTTCCTTTAATAATTCATGAAAGATAAACGATATTAACATCTTTTAATAATTGTTGTCCGAAGTGATTTTAAATTGTCCCAACAATTAATGGTCAAAATAAATAAATGTGTGTGTTGTTATTTTTCTTGTATTTGTTAGATCTGTGTTGTTATTTTTAATATTATCTACCTTCATAAGAATATAAAAATATTTACCGACAAAATAGCCTATGGTAGGGTCTATTTTACCGAGACTGCTAAAATAAACTTAAAAGCATGTTTGGCAATTTTACCGATTAAATCAATGCATAACCTTGCAAGTGGACCCAATAAGAAATGCCCGACTGACCGAGTTATCAAGGTGCCTTGAGTGCCAAACAAACACGCACGCGATATCTGGTCATGATGCTACTCTAATAGACCAGCATCAAACCTTAAGTGACATGTCAAACTGTTTGAGGGCAAAGGGTATATGTAATACTGAACGGGATATTAACTGTAGGCTAATACATCAAGATAATACCCATTTTAACACCTCTAATCAATTAACATAAAAAGCTAAGAGAGGCATGTCATGTATAGAATCAGAGCATTTATTATTATTATTATTTTTATTTTTATTTTCTTTGATTTCTGGCGTTTACACATTTCTTTCCGGGTCCCGCCCAGGGACCTAAGGTTAGAAATTGCGTCATGACACTTTCCACTGAAAAAAAAAAAAAAAAAAAAAAAATACATCGTTAAAGCCCTTCGTAAGGTGTGGGCCGGACTTGTCAGAACAATTTTTTGTATCTCCTTGAGGCATGGACTTCCAGGAATCCCTTCAATTAGTCTACTGCAATCTTTTCCAACCAGTCCTAGGGCTCCAACTATAACAGGGATTGTTGATGTTCCCATATGCCACATTTTCGAGATTTCTATTTCAAGGTCCTTGTACTTTGACAACTTTTTATTATTATTATTATTATTATTATTATTATTTTCTTTGATTTCTGGCGTTTACACATTTCTTTCCGGGTCCCGCCCATGGACCTAAGGTTAGAAATGGCATCATGTCACTTTCCACTGACAAAAAAAAAAAGAAAAAAATTACATAGATAAAGCCCTTCGTAAAGTGTGGGCTGTACTTGTCAGAACAATTTTTTTGTATCTCCTTGAGGCATGGACTTCCAGGAATCCCTTCATATAGTCTAATTGAGAGGGAGAGCAGTTTTTGTATCTTTATTATTATTATTATTATTGTTATGGGGTCCACCCCTTTTTCATATGTGGACTCTACCAAGTGTAACTGGACTGCTGCCGTTAAATACCCAGTCGGATAGTGACGGAGAATATACGAACGGAGATAGTGTGAGGTAACCTCTTGTAGAAGTCAGTTACAAGCACGTAGACTCTAAGGAAGTCCTACTTCGAGACTGTATATATCTATCTGTATTTGCTACTAACCGTGTTCCTGGATTTAATAACAGTATTACCCTTTGTATGATTGTGTAAATACATTTTATTTCTTATATTTAATTATTGCGTTTGTTCTTCATTGGAGACCGAATTCACGCGGACAACCACAACAATTATTATTATTATTATTATTATTACGCCCCAAGCAAAGTGATAATTCCACTAAGGCACAATGGGATACGGGGAGTGAAAGAGAACAACAAGAATTCGAGGAGAGAGTACTATAAAAGAATAGATTACAGGAAGACAGAATATTGACGTTGCATTTATATCTTTGAAGATTGCAGGCATCAAGGAAACATGAAACCATAAATTCATGAAAATAAACTATTAGAATAAAACTTAGGGTTGTATCTACTTATTTCAACAGTAAAACGATGAAACCTTCTAGTGGTACTATGAGATTCACACAGTCG